ACAGCAGTCTTTCCTATCGCAATACGTTTTTTTATTTCCTGGCTACTGGTGCCAAGTGAGTTGACCGTGGAGCCAAGCAGACTGAAGTTGTTAACAATCTCAGTCTCTTCACCATCCATCCTGATGCTGCCAATTGGTCCAGTGGTTGGAATCTTTGTCTTCTTGACATTGAGCCTCAATCCATACTGAAGGCTGCAGTTCTTGACCCTCTGCAGCAAGCATTTCAGGTCCTTCTTAGTTTCAGCAAGCAGGGTTGTATCAACTGCATGACGCAGATTGTTAATAAATCTTCCACCAATCCTGACACCACACCTCTCATAGAGTCGAGGCTCTCTCAGCTTATTAACTTAGATAATAACTAGAAAAAAGGAGTTCATATTCTAAGTGTAAAATGTTACATTTTGTAGTACCAGTCTTAGATATTAAAAAAATCATGTACTTCTGGTGCAATAAAAATTCAAATAGTAGTAGTCTACCCACTTAGCTCTAGGAAATGAGGAACGTTGTCTTTCTAATAATCTGTTGTATATTGTATTTACTAAAACTGTTTGATTACCTTTTTTGCATGACATATGTTTCTTATATAAATGTCTATGTGAGCACATTTGATTTATGTAAGCACTTTGGAGAAACCTAATTTAATTCTCTAGTTTGCACACATTTTGCTTGCTGCATTAATAATCCTTTAGAAGACAAGTTATGATTTTTGGAGAAGTCTTTAACATTTCCTGACTTTAAATAGTGTTATTAAATTGACATTTATGTGTTAGTTATACCTATTATGACTGGAAATATTAAACCTACCTTATTTACAGGGTATAATTTAATTACCTACCCACATAGATCTTAGCACAGTATCACATGTGTCTTTGGAAATCCCTGAGACTTAACCAATCTGCTAACTTCAGCATTGGAACATGTATTTCATAGACAAATAGTGTTGAGGGATAGTGAATAAACTTGAGGGCAGTAAATGAAAATGAATGTCAGCAATTTAGATGATTTAAATCATTCATAGTATCTTTAATACTAACTTCCTACTTTAGCCCCAATTTCCAAACACTATAAACTCTTATGCAGGCTTTATCTTATATGTGGCTTCATCAAGGGCAGAAAGAAAGATTTTTCATGATAGTTACACTTTATTAATTGGAGCTTGAATTTACTTTTGAAATGCCTTTGAAGAAAGCTGCTTTAGATAAATTAAAAATAATGAAAACTCATTGCCATCCTGCCGAGGCCGACTTGTCGTGACTCTGCAGGATACAGAACTGTCCCCTTTGAGTTTAATAGGTGTGATCTTTATGGAAGCAGACTGCTACACCTTTCTTCTGTGGAGCTGCTGATTGGTTCCAACTGCAGACCTTTTGGTTAGTGTCCAAGTGCTTAATCATTCTGTCACCAGGGCTCCTAAAAGTAATGAGACGGTGGCAAAACGGAACAACTTTTCCTCAAAGAGGCATATTTTATGTGTATGGATTAACTAACATGCTACTAATAAGTTTTACTTATTAATAAGTATAAGAATTACTCAGTATTAAGTAAGTTATTAATGTGTATCCCATAATACACTAGCAAAGTCTTTGATTAGATGTTACTTTATCCTTGTTTAAATGTATTTAAACATAAAACTGGTTTCTTTAAAAGATGTTGGCAGGAAGGGGAGCTCTGGTGGCCTAGTGGCAAGAAGCTGCATTGCAATCCAAGAGGTATGCAGTTTGAATCCACCAGATGCTTTGCTGGAGAAAGAGGGGCAATCTCCTCCTTTACCAGTCAGATCCGATTTGATGGTACACACACACACACACACACACATACACACACAAAATAATAAAATAATAAATTTTAGGGAGCTTTGGTGGCTTAATGGCAAGAAGCTGCACTGCAGTCTCAGAGGTACACGGTTCCAATCCACCAGATGCTCTGCTGGATAAGGAGGGACAATCTCCTCCTGTACCATTCAGATCTGATTTGATGGTACATGCACAAAAAATAACAACAATAATAACAAAAAAAGGTTGACAGGACATTTTATAATTTAGACTTTTTAAATTTCATTTGAATAACTGTGTTTTATGTTAAATTGTAACTTTATCCAGTTTATCACGTTATTTAGTGATCTAATGAGGTTTTTCTAACTTTCACACTTTATTTGC